CTACCGCCATTACTAAGGGGAACACCGTCGTCCCTTCATTAAGGAGTACGTCTGCACCTGCAGGATCTGCGAGGAGGCCAACATTCCCAGCCACCCCCCCCTTACAGTCTTCTTCAGCTCTTACCCATTCCCACTCAGCGTTGGACTTCTGTCTCAATGGACTTCATCGGTCCTCTCCCTACCCCACGAGGCCACGACACCATCTTCATCGTTGTCTACCGGTTGACTAAGCATGCTCACTTCCTCCCTTGCAAGTATGCTAGTTCCGCCAAAGACATCGCATCCCTATACTTTAACCGCATTGACATTCATCACGATCTTCCCACTAGCATCGTCTCTTATCGCGATCCCCGCTTTACTTCTCACTTCTGGCGTGGAATACTTTAACCGCATTGCCATTCATCACGGTCTTCCCACTAGCATCGTCTCTGATCGCGATCCCCGCTTTACTTCTCACTTTTGGCGTGGACTCCATGAGATCTATGGCTCCGAGCTTCGCCTCTCCTCCTCCTATCACCCTCAATCAGATGGACAAACTGAGGTCACCAACAAACTTTTGGGAGTATCCTCAAGAAGTTTGTTGAGAATGACTCTGGTTGGGATCTGCATCTTGCTCACGCAGATATTGCTTATAACCAATGTTATTTCACCTGCCACTTACATGTCTCCCTACTACTGTGACTTGGGATACCATGCTCGTGTCCCATCTGACCTTTTCCGTCCATCTCAAATCCATCCCGACGCCAAATGTCATGCCCTCGATGATTGGGTAAAGGAGATGGATGCGCTCCTTAGCAAGGTTCGTGAGAACATTGCTGACTCCCAGGCTCGCACGGCCACTCGCGCTAACCGCTCCCGCATCGATCATCCCTTCAAAGTTGGCGACAAGGTTCTTGTCGACGCACATCACTTCCAGCCCGAAATTGACACGCTTCGAAAATTCAAACGTCAATATATTCGACCATGCACCATTCTTGCACCCGCCGGACCCAATCATGATTGTCTAGTAAGCTTCAAATTGAAGCTCCCCGATTCCATGTACCACGCTAACCTACAAGATGTGTTACATGTATCTCTTTTGCGCCCCTTCAGTCGGTCTCCTCCCGAGTTCCACGATCGACCTTACCCTCGGCCCTCTCCCATCATCATTGAGGGTCACGAGGAGTTTGTCGTCTCTGATATCGCATCTCGGCGTATGACTGATGGTGACCCTCCCCGCCTCGAGTATCTCGTTCGATGGAAGGGTTACCTTGACGAGGAGTCTACTTGGGAGCCTCTCGAGCACCTGAAGCATGCTATGACTTTCGTGCGTGCTTACGATCGTGCTCATTTTTTCCTTTCATCATCCTCCCCTCCTACTTCTCGTCCTCCTCCTACTGACCCATCTACCTCTGCGACCACTGACATTCCCCCTCCTGCATCAATGGGTCCTCCTACTCCACCGGTACCCGCCTCAAGTCCTCCTTCCCCTGTGGATGTGGTTCCGCCTGTTGTTGCAGTTGATTCCACTCGCCCATCGACTTCCTTTTCATTTTCATGACTGATTTATATCCCCCATACACTCTCTATCTTTTACCATTCCTGGACACTTATGCAGCACCTCCTAGTTTCATCTTCTACATTCGGCTTCTACATTCAACTTTCGACCTCAATGCTTCTCCTTATTACCAGAGTACATGTCGCATTGTTCCGCACTTCTACTCTGTTCTTGCGGTACTCCTACTTCATCCAGGCTACTTCGGTTCGACTTCACTCTGGAGACTCATCAGTTGGACTACTTCACTTTTTCGGCTAGAGTTCCAATCATTCCCACCTATCCACCACCCTCGAGCTTTTACCCTTCAGTCGCATGATGACCCTTATTTTCCCTGTCTATGTGGGTGTGTCCGTCTGCCGCCCTTCTGCCTTACCGTATGCTGCGCGCCCTTCTCTGGAGTGTACGTTTTCTTTGCTCGCGGCTTTTGGCCACNATGTGGGTGTGTCCGTCTGCCGCCCTTCTGCCTTACCGTATGCTGCGCGCCCTTCTCTGGAGTGTACGTTTTCTTTGCTCGCGGCTTTTGGCCACATGTCTATGCCGGCATAGCCCTCTCTCCTTCCAAGCTCACCTTATGTGTGCTCCCTTGTGTGAGTGCCCTTCCCCTTTTCAACTGGCGGTACCCGTTTGATGGTTTCCATTGAGCCCGGTGTCGTGCTGTTACTCTCCCTTTGAGCCTGATGACCCTTACCTGGTTGTGTGGGTGCCCCCTTGGAGTTTACTCTGAGAGCTGTACCTGCCACCTTCCCACCCATTCCTACCTCTACCATGCGACTGAGTTCCCTTGTCTTTTGTTCAAGTACTGTGCATTGTGTACAGGGCACGTGAGACTGTGCCACATTCTTTTTCGACCTAGGACATTGGTTTAGTTATTCTTTGGCCTTTAGGGCCCTGATGTTGATTTATATTCAGCCACTTTGGCTCATGAGACATTTTTCTCTTTCTTGGCCAACACAGGTCAGACATTTTGCTGCTTTTTGGGTCGACTCAGACCAGACATTGTTGCATAGATTAGGCTTGAGGCTTAGTCTGCATTGCATCTCTTTTCTTGCATGGAGCTTGCTCCGCATCTAGGATTGTTTCCTTTGCCGTTCCTTTTGGGTTTCTGCTATTTCAGCGGATAGCACGTTTGATATATCACTTGATCCATTCACAGGTCCGAGGATCGTGTAGTGGTACCCCTACGGCCTGGCAGTGAGGCCTGACCAGTTTCAGGCCGTCGGCCTGACCCTGGCCCGGTACCGGGTTGATTCCCGTACCTGGACCTAGGCCGGTATATCACTTCGGCCTAGGCCCAGGTCCGGGCGGTYAGTTGGTTCATTCATTCAGTTGTTCRTTYGTYCATTYGRYCGGACTGGACCTTCACTCAGCTGCTGCTTCTCGTGTGTGTCCATCTCCTCTCTCTCTCTCTCTCTCTCTCTCTCTCTCTCTCTCACACACACACACACACACACACACACACACACACACACACACCATCTTCACACGTGCCATCTGCACAAGTGTCACAATGCCTAACCAATTCGGTCCCAGGCCACTGTGTGAATCGGGCCTGGGCGCAGACACTTTGACCGAGACTGAAGCTACTGGAAACACGGTCCCACGTGAGGAAGCAAAGGCAAGCGCCCACCTCTTTCCATATAGGAAAGGGCAGGGCAGGGGCGGGCACTTGCAAGCATATGTGGCAGCGCTGCTGGAGCTAGCGCTCGCGGGGCTGCTGCTGCGCTAGAATGTGGGCAAGTGTGCGTGCGCGCGTGCAGACGTGCGAGCCCCACGTAGTCGGGGCTAGGCTTGGACATAGCCAGCGGAGGTGGTGGTCGTTTTCGTGTATGAGGGAGAAGACATGGGTGATGAAGTCAAGGTTGAGAGAGAGAGAGAGATGAGGTTGATCATATGATGGCACGTACCTGGTCTTGGTGATGGTCTACAAGGGACAACATCTTCATGTACTTCGGGTCTGCTGCTGACTTCAACAGGATGCACTGTCAATATTTAGGGTGCTAGTAATCTGTGTGATTGTAGTCTGCGCGCTGAGCGCCAAGTAGGAGGAAGGACTCTGGATACGTATGTTGGTGGTGGTGAGAGTATACTATCATTGACATTCCGATTCAGTGCTTTGTTTCTCCATTGGTGGAATATCAGTGCATTACTGCTTTCTGGACAGCATTTGGACTTGCTGGTTTTCAATGTGATTTTGCAATCTGGATTGCTGCCATTTCGATATATCTCATTTTTCCTTGCAGATCGGATAAGCAAACAAAGCAAATCCTTCATAGAACGGCTATGTTTCCACAAATAGACCAGCAGATTATTGAAAACAAAACCAAAACAAGACAAAATCCACCAGTTGGATTCGGATGGGGTTGGGAAACGCAAAATAGACGATATCGACAACACAACATTTTGTTCGAACTTCGATTCCAATCAATAGTCAACGAAAGCAAAATTGAGTGAAAAAAAAAAAGAAAAGAGGCAAAAACAATTAACTCAGACATCGAAGCCAAGATGCTAATCGGCCATAATTATGAACATGAAGCTGAGTCCTCAAAGATTGACCAATCTACCACGCACGTGATTAATTAACCAATCACCTCAGGCGAATTAACCGACCAATCAATCAACCAATCAATCAGTCAATCAGTCAATCAGTCAATCAGTCAATCAGTCAATCAGTCAATCAATCAGCCAATCAATCAATCAAATCAATCAATCAGTTCACCAACTAATCAGCCAATCAACCAACCAATCAAATCAGGCACCCTTTGTAAAATCGGGCCTCGTGAAAGATAACGAGAGATAAGTCTGGTGCCCCTGATGATGCACAGCCATATCTCTTTTGCTCAGTGCGTCCGGCCAGCCCACATTCCCAACCCCCCGACTGCTCTCCTATCCATCGCCCATGATGGAGAAGGGTGAAAGGGAGGTGAACAAGGGAAGGGCAAAAGTGAAATACTCACTCTCATCTTTCTTACCTCTCCCTGCTGCTGCTCATTAATGACGCCCACAAGGCACATCTTTTCGCATGCGAAATGGGCACGTCAGGATCCCATCAAACGTCAGATTGATGAATACGAATTGATCAGGGAAAACGATAAATTCAAACACCGCAGATACACACGGGATACAGACAGACAATGGGTAGAGTTTGGGCAAAAGCTCATGGAGAGTAAACAAGGGTGAAAGGGAAGAGAAGAAGAGGAGGGGGGGGGGGAGGAGAGAGGGGCAAAACTGCAAAAGGATGAATACCACAAATAAAAGACAAAAAAAAATGGGTACGGCAGGACAGGAGAGGAAAGGAGAGGAGCAAAGTTGGGTGGAGATCAAGAAGACTATCCTATGACGTGAAAGATAATATATCATATGAAGCCCTGCGGCTAACCCAACCAGATCAAGAAACAAAAAACACATCTTCTTCAAAAACCTCGAAGGTAAGATAGGCTTTGCGCACAGAAATGAGCCTTCAGAACAACGCGGATGCGATTTGTTCACATGTTCACGTTCGTTTTCATTCAACCATCTTTATTCTTCAGCTTCTCCTTCAGCTGCGCCTTCGACCTCCTCCTTTGCAGTATCCTGTTATGACTAATTTGGCGTCACTGCCATTTGGAGTTATCCCTCATTTCATGGGAATTGCGAGATATCATGTTGACGACACCATATATAATTAATTGGTCGCTGTCGACGGATGAGAGAACAGACTGTTTGTTAATGCCAATCATAGCCAGACCAAACACATAGGCCGACGAGACAGCAGAGGGATCCATCCATCCATGGCTCTATACCGAATTCACGTCCTCGATTGAGGACAAACTAGCAGCCGTGTTCCCTTCTTGAAAGGTAGCCCAAAGATGAGCAGTTGGGGTCGTGCACATCTCCTCTCCTCCCATCAGGCAGTATGCATTAGCTCACATCCATGTAAAGTCGACGCAATGCAGGTAATCAATCAAGCACATGGGCCGTTCAAGAGGTTAACCAGAAGTACAACCCCTCCCCTGGTGGTCTCGCATGGCACTCTCTCTCTCTCTCTCTCTCTCTCTCTCTCTCTCTCTCTCTCTCTCTCTCTCTCTCNTCTCTCTCTCTCTCTCTCTCTCGGTGTGGCTATCTGTGTCCCCATTTCACTGTGCCGCACATGGGAAATTCCAGGAAAATCACCTCTTGTTAATGACGGTAAGGTGTCACGCATTTCTGTCTGTACATGCCCCACGCAAAGACAGCACGTCCATGAAATGAATGGCCAGCCTGCTCCATTTGCGCCTCCATTGTTCCCTCTCTCTCTCTCTCTCTCTCTCTCTCTCTCTCTCTCTCTCTCTCTCTCTCTCTCTCTCTCTCTCTCTCTCTCCGCTTACATGGGACCGTTCCCCACTGTCAATGCAAAGGCACCCAAGCCTCAACTTACTGACAAGAAGCTTCACTCCCTACCTCCCCCAGAATGGTGGGCCACCGCCCCAAAGATCCCTACTCCTCGTTGATTCCCCCAGAGCAGGATGACGGCGCCATAAAGGGTCGCAAATACGCAACCACCTCTTCCTCCTCATAAACCCACTTATTCAAAATACTACGCAAACAACACGCCACGAAACGACTCCGCTCATAGACAGTGGCACAGTGCAGCGCCGCGCACTAGAGAGAGAGAAAGAGAGAAAGGGAGAAAGAGTGAAGGAGAGAAGGAGAGAAAGAGAGAGAAAAAGAGAGAAAAAGAGAGAAAGAGAGAAAGAGAGAGAGGGGGAGAGAGAAAGATGCCCACCCACGATGTCATTTAACACTACAAGCTCCCCATCAGACCAAGGTCTCTCCGGTATAAGGACAAGTTGGCGCGCTCGTCGCCACGATCTCAAGTGATAATCTTCTTCCCCGTGGGCCGACGAAGAGCTCTGCGGTTACGTTGTTGCTTCGCTTCCCACGGCCATCTTTCACTTCAATTCATCTGCGGCGGCCAAGCACCTAAGATCTGGGTGCTAGTGCAGGTGTGGCCTCTCCAATCCTCCTCCCCCTTCTCGATGCAAAACCACACTCTGAGACAGCAACGACGAGCGAGCGGAGAGAGATGGGTCAAAAATACAACATTTACGGCTTCACAACGTGCGTACCAGGTAGCAAATCAGGTAACGACACAGGAGAAGATCGTTGACGACAACGAAAACCGATCAGCGGAAGCCCGCAAAGCCAATGCGTTAATCGACTCCTCACGGCGCCAAGTTTCGGCGAACACGGAGGGAAAGAGAGGGACAGACCTACAGGGAACCACGAAGGCCACAGACACACACACGTACGCACGGACGAACACGCAAGCACAGCTACGCGCACACAAATGACAACCACACACAAAACACCCCTGTATGTATATATATGTACAAAACCCTGCTGAATATTTCTGCGACGACAGGCATTCTTGCCCTCTGCACCCTACCCGACGCCATTCCTTCCCTTAACTCCACATGAAGTGTCCCACCACGATAAACAGTCGTGCTTCTGAGATTACTTAACCACCGTTACCCGTATCCGCCTCCTCTTCTTCTCCTCCTCAACCATTGCTATGCCACCCTACGTGCGCTATCATGCATTCATTCGTACTCAGAGTCGGAACAGAAACCAACGCCCTTCCCCCCTCCGCCTCCCCCGCTCCCCCCCTTTCCCCTCCCCTGGCACCCCCTTCACTGCCTCCTCCCTCAGCGCAAATATCCTGTCATCTCCTCCCTGTACCTTACTACCCTCTCTCCTTCTCCTTCCTCCCGCCGCCACTCCTGTACAGGGATTACCAGCAAAACGACAAAATCCGATAAGCGCTTATGGACAACGAACGCGACCGGATGCGGACCGAGCGGAATGAATGAATGTCCAGACTGGAGTCTACATTCTTCCGCCAGTCGCAATAAACTTTGAGAGCGAGAAATAAACAAAGAGAGGTTACTTACACCCAGAGTTAAGAAAGCGACGTCCCTGCAAATGCGCCACTTCCTTCCGCGCCAACTGATTGTTGCCAACTCTCTTGACTACTCCCTCCTCCTCCTCCTCCTCCTCCTCTTCCTGCTCCTCCGGGTTCGTTCTTCCGCCCGTACTCCACCATAGCTAACCGACGCGAGGTCCCCGGCTTCATTCTATTATCCCCCCCAACTCCCAACCTTCTCCATTCGTGATGATTGCCTCCACCTTCTCCTTTGGGACGAAAGAAAAGCGTAACCAACAGTGACATCACCAACCACAGTACCCACGCAACGATCCGCACGCATAACCTAACACCCCAGCTGAGCAAGAGGCCCGATAGCAACCAATGACTTGCCATCCAGCTGTGCAAAAGCCGACTGGACAGCCACTGTCTAATCACGGCGCGTCCGCACAACCACTTCACAATCACGGAATCGATGCATGTGACGGCTACGATCGCCCAACAAAATGACCATCCCGCCGTCCAACCGATTAGCAGACAGGCGAAGAACCACCCCGCCTGCAAACAGCAGCCCAGATCTTCGCAGTCGTCCGACAACGTCAGCCGACGTGGCAGCATCCGGAACACGATTCCCGCCAAAACCTGCTGCCAGGCTGGACGCTGCCAGACCCATTTCCCGCCATCACAGCTTTCGCCGCCACCGCCGCCGCCGCCGCCTTGCTTCTTGGCGCCAGTCGGGGTCTGCGCAACCACGGCGGACGGCGGCGGCGGTCGATTCCTAGGCGAATCTTCATCGTCTTCAGCAAGATCTGCCAGGTATTGCCTGAACGACCGGGCCTGCAGCGAGGCGAGGAGGGAAAGCACCAACCACTTCAGCAAAGAACCCCTCTGCCGCCCTCCTCTCATACCGCCCCCCTTGGGACTGTCTAAAGCCGCTCGAATACAGCTGATCCGACTGCCTAGCTCCTCGTAACTCAAGATCTGCACTTTCCTCCGGTTCCCCCCCCCCCCTGCATCCCCCATCTCCTCTTCTTCAGACTGCGCATCCTGCGCGCATCTGTGCCCGCAGTATCCAATTCCCAGCCATTCTCTCTCCGCCCACTCGCTGACCCGCAGCGCCACCCCGCCTCCCCCCCAACTCCCTCGGCGGGCGTGCTGTTCCACCAGCCCCCTCCTATCTCCTCCGCATCCTCCCTCATCTCTCTCCCCCGTGCCTCCCGCTCCCCCTCCCCCCCCCCCTCCCCACCACTCCTTCCATAAACCTGACGAAGACTCCGTGCTTGTCACAGCAAGCGCATTCGAGCCCCCCTCCTCCCATTCATCCCCCGCCGCGCTCTCTTGAGGCCCCTGCTGCTGCTCGTCCTCGTACAACCCTAGCCAGTCTAGCGGATCCTCGCTCATCATCAGCAAATCCACCAAATGACTGAACTCCTTCGGCAACCGCTGCCGGCGGACCAGTTGCTGCTGCTTCTTCTTCTTACGCCTTCGCCGCCGGCTGACAGCAGCAGGATGAGAGTAAGACGGACGGAGAGAGAGGGGTGGAGAAGGAAGACAGAAGGAAGAGGAAGAGGAGGCCGACGATGGCGACGACACAGGAGCAGTACCCCCCCCCCCACGGCTGGCAACCGGACACCCCCGTCTCCCTTGTTGGCCAGCGCGAGCCACGGCCAGTGTTGATGTCAACAACTCGTCATCCTCGTCATCATCTTCATCGTAACATGCACCTTCGTCCCGATCCCGATCGTCCGTGGAGGCCGTCCCTTCATTGCTGGTTGCACCACCGCCTACTGTTGGTCTTTGTTCCTCCGCCTTAACCACCTTCTTTTCCACCTCCCCCTCCTCCTTCTTCTCCTCCTCCCCCCCCTCCTCCTCCTCCTCCGCCTTTTCTTGCTCATTCTCATCCCCCTCTTCCTCCTCCTCCTCCTCCTCCTCCTCTCCCTCCTCCTTCGCCTCTTTCTCCTCCCGCTCCTCCTCCTCCTCCTCCTCCTCCTCCTCTTCGTCAGTCGTCGCCTCTAGCTGCCTCAAAGCGACGTACCGGAGTGGCTGGGAGATCGCCGCAAGTCGTGCCAAGCTGAATCCCCAGCACGTGGTGACATATCGCGCACTACAAGACAAAAATAGATCGCCCATCTGATCAATTCGGATGACGACGGTATCTTCCAGGAGGCCACCTCGGTCGACGACCTCCTCGCTTCTCACGGACGTGGTGTCCACCCACGAATGCAGCCTCAGCTTGGCCTTCTTTCCCGCCTCCACCACCCCCTCCTTCGGATCCACCCGCACCCACGTCGACCGGTTCTGGTCCAACGACGGCCACAATACTGTGAATTTGGCGGGGAACTTCCCGGTATTGACCAGGAATGCGGATTTCTTGACAGGCTCCGCAAAGCCGACCTCACCGAAGTGCACCGCTTGCGGCTGAACCACACAGACCGGTCGCAGCGTCTCATAAGCGCGCATGCTATCCAGTTTGTCCAGCACTGCCTCCAGCTTCTCAAGAACCACCTCCTCCACAGAGATCAGGAATGCCGCCTTCACGGGTCGGTGATCGGAGAGAATCATCTCCTGACGGCCATAGCTCAGCTGCTTGATGTGATCCCCTTTCCACAGAATGCGGTCACACCACGCGGGAGTTCTCCTTCTCTCTCCATCGTCGACGTCTTCGCCGACGTATCGCTCGCTGTTGGCCGCGTACTTGTACGTCGGCGCGAAGGAGATCTCGCCTTCCTGCCAGCCCTCGAATACCCGACCTGCAAATCTGCCCATGCGCAGCTGGTCCTTCTCCAGCAACACGCCCCACTCGCGGTTGACTATCAACTCCCTTGCCTCTGCGTCCGCCATCGACAGACGGTAATTAAGGTCGCCCAACCAGATCAAACGGTCGTGTTCCAGAACGGTTTCCGGCAGACGTGTGAGGGGGGATTTGATCGCGCGCGGGAAGACTGATCGCCTGAGAATCTCCGCAACGTCGTGGTCCCTCTTCAGGTCATCGCCCTCCCTGTCCCCCGAGGTCAAATGAGCGCACACGAAACAAAAACTCGTGTCGAACAGACACAAGCTAAGGGCCACAGCCCCCTTGTTGCCAAGTACTCCCATCAACCCGCATGCTACGCAAGACACCTTCACCCCTCGCACAAACCTCCGCAGCCCTGCCTTTACCCACACAGATACCAAGATCCCGACCATCTGTTTGCTAGCGACCTTCACATACTGCACTCCTCCTCCTCCTCCTCCTCCTACTCCTCCTCCTCCTCCTCCTCCTACTCCTCCTCCTCCTCCTCCTCCTCCTCCGCCTGCTGCTGCTGCTGCTGATACTGATGTTGATGATAACGATGATGCTGAAGACGATCCTGTTGCCGTCAATACCCTTTCTTCCGACGGGAAAACCTTCTCCTCCTGGCCAGCAGACTGGGCAGACGAGGCGCGTGCTTCGCACAACCCAACCAAAGTACTCCCCTCCTCCGTCCCCAGAACGATGACGTCAACGCCGTCCCCTCTCACCTGCTGCTGCTGTTCCGCCGGGCCCCCTTCCCCCCGCTTGAACTGCCCATCTATGACCATCAATCCCCCCCCTATCTGCTTATCTATTGCCCTATCATCAATCGCCGTCTTGCTAAATGAACGCAATGCTACATCCGCACCTTTCGCGCCATTTTCTGATCTGCCTGCTGCCTCTTTCTCATTATCATCGCCGTCTGCTTGTTCAACTGTAGCGACTGCTTTTCTCCTTCCTCCTCCCCCTCCTCCCCTTCTTGCTTCTCTTCCTGGGTCATGTTCTCCTTTCCAGCTAATCATTTTCTTGATCAGCTCCCCTCTTTTCCCGCCTTTTCGACACGACACGTCAGCATGGCTAGCACCCGCGGGACGACAGTCAACCTTATGTCCCCGCCCACCGAAGACTACCAACCCGCCGGTCAACCCCGCTCGGACCTCTGGCGCCGCCTCTTGCGCCGCCACCTTAACTACTCCACGCACCTCCCGACCCGAGAATCCCCCCTCCCACCGTCTTCGTCCTTTGCCCCCTGCATATCCACACAAATTCTGCAGGACCTTTCCCCCTCCGTTTGCTGTTGTTACTCCATTTGCTGGCGCGGATCGCGCCGTCGGTCCGTCTTCGATCCCCTCCCTTTTCCCCGAGTTGGCTAGGGCTTCGTCATCCTCGGGGCAATGCCCGCTCCCGCTCCCGCCCCTGCTGCTCTCTCCACCCCCACTAGCATTCATACCGTTACTATCAACGCTACGACTACTGGACATAAAGCTACGACCCCGGCTCCCATCTAAAGGGGGGGCACCGGGCACCGACTGCGGCGAGGTCTTCCTTTGCCGTTGGGCCTGCTGCCCGTCGGCAGCAGCACCGTCAGATGCAACTGAAGCACAAGTAGGAGGAAGAGGCGGAGGGGAAGGACGAGGAGGAGGAGGAGGGGAAGGAGGAGTTGGTTTCTTCGTCTTCTCGTTCAGCGTGCGCCTGATTAAGTCCTGCCAAGCAGCGGCCGGCTCCTCATCCTCCGTCCCTAACACGTTCATGGGGTTGAGCGGGACAACCTCTTGAAACCCTATGACATAAATATCAGCCGGATCATCGACTTCCAGCCAGGAATCGAGCTCCAGACCTTGGGGAGGCGTAAGGCCGCCAAGGTTCCAGGTCCCAACGATGACCTTCACGTCTTGACTCTTGGTGAACTCGTGACGGAAGCCATCTAATTCGCCCTTGTCCAGGCGCTCAAGACGCGCGTGAACTGGCAAGTCCTCCGCCGATGGCCGAGTAGGGGATGGCGTGATACTGCCCGTCAAAGAGGGAGGTGAGGCAGATCTGGAGGACGGCCGACCAGTGCTAGTAGACTGTACAGACTGCTGATTGGCCTGAGCCTGGGCCTGCTGCTGTTGGTGATGATGATGACCACCGACCCCCCCCACCAACGACCCATTGCCAGCGGAGGGTGGTTGATTCGCCCCCCGCTGTTGATCTCCAACGGCGACGGCGGCGGCGACCTCGTTGTCGGGCGAACTACCGGTAGTGTTCAACGAGCGTAGCAAAGGACTTGTTCCTGGGGGCAGACAGATGTCATCCACGGAATCGAGCGACTGGTCGTCGTCGTAAGAGAACTCATCTCGGAGCCTCAGGTTCAGCCATCTCGATAAGGGTAGGGGTCCCGATCGAAGCAACTCTGCTGCAGAGGACAGCATCCGAACTCCAAAGAAGCCGTCAATGATTACCACCAACGACGAGGTACTCAGAAATTGTTGCGTTAAATCTCCGGCCTTCGTCCTTACCTGGCCTGCATTTCTTGCGCTGCGCTTCGTGACCGACTCAACTAATACTACTTACAGTATATCTTCCATCACAATAGTGTTTCGCTGAAAGAGTCACATGTGCGCTAATCGCCAAGAGAAGGCGCTCATCATCTTCAGGACAGTCACGCTGTCTACAGGCAGTTAAACATCAATATCTCCCTACAATAACTTAGAAATATAGGCAAGCGACATTCCCTCCCTCCCCACTTCCACACCAGACTTCTTCGTCCCCTTCTGTCTTCCTCAACGGCCCGCCCCCTACGCTGGCGCAGTTGTGGCCTAGAAAGACCCTCCAGTGAGCAATAATATTCCTTTAGCTCGTCGTCAACAATTCCTTACGCATCTCCTGGTATCGATCCCTCAGTCCTCGCACCCCTCTCCACTTCCCCCCCTCCTCTCTCTCTATATACGCCCCCCCCCCCTCCCTCCTCTCTCTCTCTCTCTTTCTCTCTCTCTCTCTCTCCCTCTCTCTCTCTCTCTTTCTCTTTCTTTTTCTATCTCTCTCTCTCTCTCTTTCTCGCTTTCTCTCTCTCGCTCGCTCGCTCGCTCGCTCTAGTCAAGGCCCTCACTCCTACCACCTACCCCTTTGGATGTACGTGTGCATCGGCGTCTTAACCCTCTTTCTCCCGCGCCCACGTGTGGACGAACTCAAGTATCGCCTCTGCTTCCCGGGAACCTCAGGACAAAGCCCCCTCTGCTGTCCATATACCCGGTCGGACTGGTCGATAGCATGGTGAGCGATGGAGATCAGCTCACTGCAGAGGTGGCTTCATTCGCGCTGCTGTTGCTGTATGTGCGGCAACTTCGTCCATTCCCCACGCCCTCAGGTTAGAACGGTTAGGTGATCCGAGCAATGTTCTCCCGGGACAGTGCACGTGCGTATGACACGACATACTACAGTATGTCTCTGCACACCCATCGCAATCTTTCGGCAACCGTTCAGAGCCCCTACTGCGCCCCATGCTCCCGTACCTCCCTTCCCCAACCCTCCCCTTCCCTATACATACCTGTTGACGGCCTCATGATAACATTTCCCCTTTATACTGTCCTTGTGTCCGTGCTCGTTCAGAATGGCACTCCCTCATAGGTACCCAACATCGAGTAAACTTTCCTAAAATGACATCAGTAACCCTTCCTTGCAGGACTCGACGCCATTTGTTCAACAAGCTACGCTCAAGAACGCCACGTGGCGCCAAATGGCGAGGTCTGGCCGCTGATCTCCACCACACAGTGCGATGACAAGCGCCCTCCCCCTGACGACTGCGACAGAAAGGTAGCAGGTCAACCGATGCGTACCCCTTCGTTGGCCACGTGGTAAACAGCCACGATGCAGTCTTTATTAGGCCAAATCGGACACAAAAATTATCAGATGCGTACCCCTTCGCGGCACACACACACACACACACACACACAAACAAACAAACAAACAAACACAGACAGACACAAGGAGATACAGATCGATAAAAGATGGGAGAAGGGGGAAGAAACGCAGGACTGCAGACGGAGGTACCAAAAGTACCTGCGCCTTCTCAATGCCCATAGATCGACGATTCAAAACAAACAGGGAATCCGGGGGGGGTGCCGATCTAATAAACAGTTTGATCAGATCGCCTTGTCATCCAGCAAGATAAAACCACCCTCTGAGTATGCTGCTCCCTCTCCTCCCCCTCCTCACCCCCTCTCTCTCGCCCCCCTCCACTTTCCCCTTCCTCACCCTCTCTCTCACTTTCTCCAGGAGTTCATTCGATTATCATGGCCGTAGGCCCCGGCCTACCTTTCTCTCTTCCTCCAAATCGCTGTCCCGACAGCATCTACAAAAAAGATACGCAGACACTGCTTGTCGACCGAGAGGAAACAGCATCACGACTGCACGATTCAATTACCACTTCATTGACGCCGCCTCTACAATGTCACCCCGCTTCACGCACCCGGCCGATACACTCATCCATCGTTTCCTCTACCGCTGCATTCAGCTGCGCCGACACGACAGGACACACACTTGCCTACCCTGGTTACCCGTGCCTCCTCCCTCTGAAAGGCCAGCCGACAGCGACACGCCCCACCTACGCTCTCTCTCTCTCTCTCTCTCTCTCTCTCTCTCTCTCAATCGATTGATCGACCGATCGATTCGTCACCCTCCGCAGACACCAACCTGTTCACCAAACCCCCAGAGAGTCCCACAAACCCGTACCTCTCTCTTAGGCTGTTCCGATGGCAGGGCGCCCCACAGGAAGTTCCGCCGTAGCGCTTGTCCGCTACCCACGGGGTTCCAACCGGCGGGAAATGCGGACACCTGCCTCCCTCACGTCCTTCACCCGTCTAAAGCGCGGGGGCCAAATGGCACGGAAACGAACAGTTCCATTTTCTCTCACCTACGCACTACTGCACGGATGTGCTATAGGGAAGGCGAGAACACCACACAGGGGTATGTCGATAGGCATTCCGAGGACGAACCCATCCTCCCCCTTTCTCAGAACACAAAACGCTAAGAACTGCATTTACGGGATAAAAACACCCCTAATAGTAGGGGTCAGCTAAAGATAGAAGAAGAAACGAAGAAGCCAGGTCACAAGCGTGAACATCACGGCAACGTGTACGGCGATGGCGGGCAAGCACAAATTGCACTTTCGCCAAAAAACTCAACAGCCTGCGCTAAGGCAGCAATAGACAAAAATGATGAAATCACAAAAAATGAACAAAAGAGCACATGCACAACGGGATTGAAATCATTCAAAAATAGGCAGGAACATGAAAGCGAACCCATGTGGCTGAAAGGCGAACACATGTAAACAGGTCAGGCGTTCGAGACCATCGGGAAACAGAGAGTATCACATGGAATCAATCAAAAGCCCAGAAAACAAAAGAGAGAAAAAAGAAAACAGTGAACATGCACGTAGCCAGCCCCGACCGCAATGTGAAAATCGAGTGTGTGAGCCAGCCACCAGAGGACACGACGCCTCCTCGTCAACAGTGGCACACTATTGGTGCCCAAATCTGGCACCAGCCTACCGCTGCAACTGTTCTGCGCGTCAATTGTTGCGTAGCCCCACTGTAATCTTCGCCTCGGACGTTTCCCTTGTGTTCCTAATGCTTCATCGGACGTTTCACGAGCCCCTGTGCTCGATTCTTTTCTTTTTTTTTGGGAAAATTTGTCTGGCACCCCTGTAATTTGCGTTCTTTCGTGTCGCGCCCCTCCGACGGCCGATTTACCCTGTCGCGTCCCTGGGCCAAATAATATTTTCGGCAGGCCCTTGTCGGTAGTGACCGCAACTTTCCAGGACGCCCTCCTTGGACTGACGGTCACGCCCTGTGCCATATGCCCTCATGACGGGCAGCCATCTTTCTGCAATGCCCCCCGCAGCCATGAGGCACCATTATTCGCATCGGACCCTGTGCCATATCGTCTGCTTCCCTGCAAGTGTGTGTGTGTGTGTGTGTGTGTGAGAGAGAGAGAGAGAGAGAGGGCTGGAACTTTGTACAGTCCACCAACCAGCCATAGGCGCGCAGCGCCATCAGAACACCCCTCTCCTCCTTCATCATCTTCTTCCATCTATCGTAACCTTTCGATGAGACGAGATAGGGACTCGCAAGAGCCAACGCCCGCCCCCTGATTTTCGTCCCAGACTTCTTCTTTCCCACCTTTGCATTCATCGAGGTCGAGTTGCCCTCGTCGTTGAGTCAGACTGTCCACCACTAACATCCTTTCGTTTGTCGGAAGAGGGAGCTGCCCCTGCATCTGGGAAAGCAGTAGCAGATGTGGCAGTTGTGGACGACTTGGCAGCAGACGCCCTCTTGGCAGCACATGCAGCTGATGAGGCAGCAGATGGCTTGGTATCAAATGGACTGGCAGCAGATGACGTGGCATAAGATGGCGTAGCAGAAGATGACGTGGCATCAGATGACATAGCAGCAAATGGTACCGGTAGGGGCATCTCGAAAAAAATCCCGCTCCGGTAGGGGCATCCCGCAAATTAGGGACCGGTACTGGTAGGGGCGTAACGAAAAGATTTGAGGCCCAAACAACACCGGGGTCTTATGGAAAATTCAACCCTGCTCAGAGGAGCGCGACAGGGTAAATCGGCCGTCGGAGGGGCACGACGCAAAAGAAT